TGTGGATTGGAGTGTGGATATTATGTCATGCGATAATGCAATTCATGTATGATGTGGTAAAGTGTACTGGTGATGGTCAAAATATGAAGCAGGTACATTTTAATAATTCTTCTAGTATGTTTTTTTATTGAAATAATTAATACTTAATTTCAAGTACATTTTTATGATTGAGTGGTTATATTTTGTTTAAGTGAGTGGGTTTGTATTTTACCGAACTATTTATTAACGTGTTGTTGGCTGACCAAGTTTACTTGATCGAACATTTTTCATTCCTACAAATATTAGCTAGTTTTCGATTTATTTATGCTAACAAATATTTTAATTAACTAGTACTTGAAATTTCTTATTACTTTTAGGTGTACAAGAACACTTCAAGAGATGAGCCGTTTTCAATTGATGAAATCGGTGATGTTCAAGACGTATGGGCCATCTATGTTTGTGATAACATTTTGTAAACTTTATACTAGCTACTAGCTAGACATGTAATGCAAGTATTTTTTTAATTATATTTTTTATCGTATTAGATGTGTTTCGTGATTTTTGTTCTCAACAAATAACATTATTGGCACTTCGTTAAATGATATGAAAGACTTGTGAATTTGATATGAACAGAGTCTGTTTTGGTACAATGGATATTAGTTGTGCATTTTTTGGTATTAAAGGAAATTGGGTGTAATGCTCACAATTAAAATTAACATTTGCGGCGGTTCTATTTACCCGCAGCAAATAAGTTGAAAAATATTCAACTATTTGCTGCAGTTCCGGGATACCCGCAGCAATAAAGTAATAAAAAAACTAAACTGGCCTATTTGTTGCGATTCTGAACCACAGCAAATGTAAATTCATACAATTGCTGCCCCCTTAATTGTTGCGGTTCGGAACCGCAACAAATGCCCAAAAATAACCGCACCAAATGTGATTTTTTCTAGTAGTGATGTACAAGTACGTTTATAATAATATAATCAACGTTCTGGCTAGGATTTGAGTCTTGAGCTACATGATCATTGTCTTTAGTTTCATTAACAAATTGTACGTAAAGACATTTTACGAAGTATTTATTTAGGTATTAATAAATTACTTTTACAGGGTATTTACTACATTAAAAAATTGTTAAATTTGTCTCATTATAGACTATCGAAATATGAATCTTTTATTTGTTTTACTTATAGAGAATTAATTAAATTTGTCTCATTATTTGTTTTTACAAGAATATTACTTAAATAAATCATATTTACATAAATATGACTATTCATTACTACAATGTGGTGTTGTGGTAACTTAAGCTCAAAACTTGAACATGAATTACTATGATTTCATTACTACTCTAGTTATTAGTCATATTTTGGTAAACCATCTTTATTTTGATCATATTTATGTAATTATTTCATTAAATTTACATCGACAAACGTCAAAAGTGGACAATTACACTTATTTAAAAACAAAGACAATATATTTTATAGGGAAAAGTATGGAAAATGTACTTGTGGTTGAGCCCGTTTTCAGATAAGGTCATGTGTTTCATTCTTTATCAAAGTGGTTCATGTGTTTGAATTTCGTTATCACAAGAGGGTCACGCCGTTAAAAACATCTGAAAAAGACCGTTAAAAGTAACTCCGGTTTTCAAAAGTGCCTGAAACATTAAAAGAAAAATACCGGAAGGTGCACCTCAATAAGACGACCGCTAGGTCATCTTTCTATTTTGTTTTCATCCACCCTTGTCACCGGAATGTCCATCGGAAAAATGATATTAGCGAAATCATTTTTAAAAAATAATTCAAACAGATTTGAAAAATCCAAAGGCGAGGGTGGTTTGGAGGTCATCTTATTGAGTCGCACCTTTCGGTATTTTTCTTTTAATTTTTCGGGCACTTTTGAAAATCGGAGTTACTTTAAATGGTCTTTTTCCGACGTTTTTAACGGCGTGACCCTTTTGTGATAACGGAATTCAAACACATGAACTACTTTGATAAAAAAAGAAACACATGACCCTATCTGAAAACGGGCACAACCACAAGTACATTTTCCGCACTTTTCCCTATTTTATAAAGTCCCTTTTGACTTACTATTAATTTGAGAATTTGTGATATTATGTTAGTATTACTTATCACAAACATTAAGAATTTTCCTTATATAAAAAAATCTTCCGTAAAAAATTACACGAAGTATTTTTATTAACTACTCCCTCCACCCCGAAAAGGTTGGACAAATTTCCTTTTTTGGATGCCCAAAAAGATTTGTCATTTCCATTTAAAGTAAGGAATATGTGGCTAAAATTAATTCTCTCTCCTCTGCACAAATTTCAACCACACAGTTTTTACTTTATTAATCCACGTGAAAGTCAACTTTGGTCAACCTTTTCGGGGCGGAGGGAGTAATAATTAGAAATTAGAATACTTTTTGCCAAAAAAAAGAATTAGAATATTTACACAACATATGAGTTGTGGGTTCTATGTAATACGAAGTATTCCTTAATTCCTACAAAATATTTTTCCTCTCATCAATATCCAAGCATGGTGTATATATGTAGCACAATCAAATGAAAAGACATGGCTCAATAAATCAAATGACGGTCCACTCAAATCGGCAAATATCCCACCACACTAAATTTTAAAATGAAAAGACGGTCCACCAAATACTTCGTATGTTTTTAAGCTAAGATGTGTTTTTAAGCGTTTGGTCCAAATGGTGCAACCGTTGGGTATTACATAGCCCACAACCATGTATTAACTTCTGGATTTTGCCGTACAATACACAATTAGTTGGGTTGGGTTGAATTGACATTGATAGCGGTTGGGTTGGGTATTACATAGCTCACAACCATGTGACATTTTTCAAAACATGTACGATAAACTTGTACGTAGTATAAGGAAATACGTACAAGTACGTTTATAATAATAGAATCAACGTTCTGGCTAGGATTTGAGTCTTGAGCTGCATGATCATTGTCTTTAGTTTCATTAACAAATTGTACGTAAAGACATAACTTTATCTCGAGAATAACCCATTTCTCTGGCAATAATACATGAACAACTCAACAACATCTACAAAAGGCTTCTTACTTTTATTAAGAGTGAATAGTATAGTTCTTACACAAGACCAATCTCTAAGAATAAGATGGTTTTATCTTAAAATAAGCTCAAAACAAAACTGTTTTTATGACTACTAGATTTTCACCCGTGCGATGCACAGACAAAGATGTATTCCCTCCGTTCCATTTTATCTTCCCGGTCTGTCCCACAAAGATTGTCTCATACCAAATAAAATTTGTTTGGTTCTAAATCATTCTTAGTTTACTCTCACTTCATCAATTTAATATCAACCACATAAACTACTTTTATTAGTTTGCATGTCACTCTTATCCTATTGTTAGCGGACGGAGGGAGTAGTTCAATTCACGAATAGGAATAGTATGTATGTTTTAGATCTACGAACAAAAGAAAAGTTAAAGGAGTTTAAATATAAAATTTACTCCATTAAAGCTAGTATGTAGTAGTAGTATAAGACTGTCATTCATAACGTCTATTAAAGCTACGGATGAAAGGAAATCATATATATACATGTACTATACAAAACTATGTTCTTAAATAAATGCAACACGATAAATTTTATATTTTTCACATGCTGTACTTTTACTACATTTTACGAAGTATTTATTTAGGTATTAATAAATTACTTTTACGGAGTATTTACTACATTAAAAAATTGTTAAATTTATCTCATTATAGATTATCGAAATATGAATCTTTTATTTGTTTTACTTATAGAGAATTAATTAAATATATTATTGGTCAAAAATTATACATCGACAAACGTCAAAAGTGGACAATTACACTTATTTAAAAACAAAGACAATATATTTTATAAAGTCCATTTTGACTTACTATTAATTTGAGAATTTGTGATATTATGTCAGTATTACTTATCACAAACATTAAGAATTTTCCTTATATAAAAAATATTCCGTCAAAAATTACACGGAGTATTTTTTATTAACTACTCCCTCCACCCCGAAAAGGTTGGCTAAATTTCCTTTTTTTGGATGTCCCAAAAAGATTTGTCATTTCCATTTAAATTAAGGAATATGTGGCTAAAATTAATTCTCTCTCCTCTGCACAAATTTCAACCACACAGTTTTTACTTTCTTAATTCACGTGAAAGTCAACTTTGGTCGACCTTTTCGGGGCGGAGGGAGTAATAATTAGAAATTAGAATACTTTTTGCCAAAAAAAAAAAGAATTAGAATATTTACAAAACACATGAGTTGTGGGTTCTATGTAATACGAAGTATTCCTTAATTCCTACAAAATATTTTTCCTCTCAATATCCAAGCATGGTGTATATATGTAGCACAATCAAATGAAAAGACCTGGCTCAATAAATCAAATGACGGTCCACTCAAATTGGTAGACATCCCATCACACTAATTTTTAAAATCAAAAGACGGTCCACCAAATACTTCGTATGTTTTTAAGCTAAGATGTGTTTTAAGCGTTTGGTCCAAATGGTGCAACCGTTGGGTATTACATAGCCCACAACCATGTATTAGCTTCTGGATTTTGTCGTACAATACACAATTAGTTGGTTGGGTTGAATTGACATTGATAGCGGTTGGGTTGGGCATTACATAGCCCACAACCATGTGACATTTTTCAGAACATGTACGATAAACTTGTACATAGTATAAGGAAATATGTACAAGTACGTTTATAATAATAGAATCAACGTTCTGGCTAGGATTTGAGTCTTGAGCTGCATGATCATTGTCTTTAGTTTCATTAACAAATTGTAGGTAAAGACATAACTTTATCTCGAGATTAACCCATTTTTCTGGCAATAATACATGAACAACTCAACAACATCTACAAAAGGCTTCTTGTTTTTATTAAGAGTGAATAGTATAGTTCTTACCCAAGACCAATCTCTAAGAATAAGATGGTTTTATCTTAAAATAAGCTCAAAACAAAACTGTTTTTTACTACTCCGTACTATTTTGTATCATTCCAAACTGTTACACGGGCTTTTAGTGTCCGACTTATGTTGAGCATGCTCCCAGTTCCGGCCCATGATCGGCTACCGCCCCGTACACCTGTGCCCCTCGCCTGCTCCCTAGTCCCGCCCTGTGCGCGGCTGCACCCCCGCTTCCGCCCCTACCTGCTAGCTGAGTCAGGTATGTGTATTGCTTTCATTTTTTATTTTGTTATATTTTATTTAGTTCAGCTTTATGCCTTTATTTATGGAATTTGAGGATTTTTGTGGTTGTGAGTTCAGAAACATTTCTCCCTAGATTCCTGGGATTTATTTGTTGTGAATTTTGTGGTCGTTAGTTCATGGAATTGTGGTCTGCTATTTAATGTGAATATTGTGACCTGTTGGCATTCAAATTTAGACCTTTAGTTTGATACAATTCAGGTTGTTGTTGTGAATTCTGGATTCTGGGATATCCCTACATAGCTCCCTAAATTGTTGTTTTGAATTAAACTAGTAAAACCTTAGTGTGGAGGTTTATAAAGCTGAAAACCCCATCATTTTACTGTCTAACTGTAATTTTAGATTGTTGCCTATATATTGTTCTTTTTTGGTTGGTTATCCTGTTTTAGTCACATGTACAATTAATGTGAATATATGCTTATGATTTTCACATATTCTCATTAGTTGTTAGTATTAAAATGTTGATGTGTATTAGTTGTGTGCCCCTAACTATTGAAACTTGAGATTTTGCAAGTTGGATTGATGTGGAGGTGCTGGTGTTTGAAATTCTTATTCTTTAGGTCCACTCATCATTTTGGACTTAGATTTTTGTGTGATAATTTGAATATTTAGTTATGATTAAAGCTTTCACCACATACACTGGATAAGGATTAATTTTAGGTTGGTTACTTTTTGTTGAGACTATCTCGTGAGATTCTTTGAAACCTTGTTTTGCTAAATGATTTTGTATGCTCAATCCTCTTTGAATTTGATAATTAAATTGAACATATTTTTATCCTAATAAGTGTTTTGGTTCTGTAAAAAAATAAGTCAAGTATTATTATACACCATGTGTCATTTTTCAGCGGTTAATTGTTTCCTTAGGTTAAGTGTCGTTTTGTATCTCATAGATATCGTTTTGGCTTACAGTAGTTCAATAATTTTGATTATTCATTCTTTCAAGTTTGTACACTTTCTTGATTCCAGCATACTGGTCTACCGATTAATGAGTGACATCGCTTCTCACTTTAGTTGCTCTTAAATTAATTAAAATGTCATTTTGGACATTGTGCCTGAACTTTTTTGAGTCTGACAAGTTTCAATCACCAGAATAAAATTTTAATCAAAAACATTGTAGTGGTATGATAAAAGATTTCTGTTGAATTCTATTCTATTTGGTATAACAATGTGATGTAATTAATTAGTGTTAAAAATTGCAGACTTTCTCTCAGAAGCTTGTTCATGCCACTACTGAAAGTATTATTATTTCTCCGAAGGCAACATATGCATTGCGATGCTTGGGAGGCAAAGCTTGACGGAAGCTTTATGGGCGTGTGCCAATAATTCACTGATAGTTCAGGGAAAGCTTGTTCATGCCGCTACGCTGAGAAGATTTTATGGGTCTGATCTAATCATAAACAATTACCTCATTGATATGTATGCAAAATGCAGTAGGATAATAATGGCACAGAATGTGTTTGATAAAATGCCCGCCAGAAATGTAGTTTCATGGACAGCTTTGATGTGTGGGTATTTACAGGGAGGCGCAGCAAAACACACACTCTTACTTTTATCTGAAATGATACATTCAGATGCACGCCCCAACGAAGTCACTTTCTCCACCAACTTTAAGGCATGTGGGATTCTGGGTGCCATAGGACAGGGAAGGCAGATTCATTGCTTTTGTGGAAAGAGTGGGTTTGAATGGAACCAAGTTGTTGGAAATTCTTTAATAGATATGTACGCGAGATGCGGGAAAATAGCTGAGGCTGAAAATATGTTTTTTGCAATGCCTGATAAAAGACAAATCACTTGGAACTCTATGATATCAGGATATGCACTTCAAGGAATGGGGCAAAGATCTTTAACCTTGTTCAAACAAATGCAAGAGCACGGAGAAACGCCTGACAACTTCACCTTCGCAAGCACTTTGAAAGCGTGCACTTCTTTAAGAGCCATCGGTGAAGGAAACCAAATCCACGGTTTTCTAATCGTTAGAGGACTCCCCATTTACGACAACAAAGTCACTTCTGGTGCACTCATTGACATGTATGCCAAATGTGGAACCTGCTTACTCGAAGCCCAAAAGGTTTTTGATCTAGTGGAGCCAAAAAGCATTCTTTCCTGGACTTCTCTAATTATAGGTTATGCGCAACAGGGAAATCTAATGAAGGCCTTCGACTTGTTCAAAGAGCTTAGGGAGGAGAGTGAACTTCCCATAGATGAGATTCTTGTGTCCAGCTTGATGGGAGTTTTCGCTGATTTTTCCCTTGTTGAGCCCGGGAAACAGTTACACTCTTACTCCATCAAACTTCCATGTGGTCTAAACACACCAGTCCTTAACTCAGTCATTGATATGTATCTTAAATGTGGGTTTATAAATGAAGCCGAAAGACTCTTTGGTGATATGCAGCGAAGAAGTGTAATCACATGGACGACAATGATAACAGGCTATGGGAAGTACGGAATCGGAAGAAAAGCAGTTGAGCTCTTCAAAAGGATGGATTTTGAACCTGATGGGGTTACCTACCTTGCTTTACTCACTGCATGCAGTCATTCAGGACTAATTGAAGAATGCCAAAGATACTTTTCGAGATTGTGCAAGGAACCCAAAGTGAAACCTCAGCTGGAGCACTATAGCTGCATGGTTGATGCTCTGGGTCGGGCTGGGCGGTTAATTGAAGCCAAGAATCATATTGAGAATAATGTATCACTAAAATCAAATCCAGAGATTTGGAAGACACTCCTAAGTGCATGTAGAACACACAAGAATGTGGATTTAGGAGCAGAAGTAGGTGATATTTTATTAAGATTGGAGGGTGATAATCCATCAAACTATGTCATGCTATCTAACCTATATGCAGATATCAGCAACTGGAAACAGAGTGAAAACCTCAGGTTTCAGGCAAAAGCGAAAGGGCTAAAGAAGGAAGCAGGACAGAGCTGGGTAGAGATCAAGAAAAAGATGCACTTTTTCTACAACAGAGATGAGAGACACCCCCTAACCGAATCAATCCACAAGATTCTGAAAGAGATGGAGAGAAGAATGAAGGCAGAGTTGGGGTATGCACACACAGTGAGCTTATCGTTGCACGATGTGGAAGATGAGTCAAGGGAGGAAAGCTTGATGTTTCACAGCGAGAAACTAGCAATCGGGCTGGCATTGATTCATGATAATGAGAGTAGGATTAATGAGGCAGAACCGGTTCGTGTTTTCAAGAACCTTAGGGTTTGTGGGGATTGCCATGAGTTCATCAAGGGATTGTCCAAGATTCTAAAGGGAAAAGTTTTTCTGGTAAGAGATGCTAATAGATTCCACAAGTTTGAGAATGGTGATTGCTCTTGTGGTGACTATTGGTGATAGTATTGCACAAAGACTTCAGAAATGCGTGATTTTTCAGGTTTGTTGTTCTTACTTAGCTTTTCACAATACATTTTGGTGCCGAAGTTGGTGAAAATTAAATATTTTTATTGGTGAACCTTTGAAATTGCGGATGAAGTTATGAAGAATTTAATATCTTTCCATAAGTACAGGCTATTTAGGTGGTGGATATCTCGGAAGCTAAAGGATGTGAACATTTTCTTTCTTTTAACATTTGATCGAAGTATTTGTTTAGAAAAGCTTAGTTTTGATTTGTTTGCTGTAAATAACATTGATGCCATCTGTTTCCAATGCAAATAGGAGCAATTACTGCCAAACTTGGAAAGTACTGCCAATTTTATAGTCTGGTACTACCCAAAAATGTGAGTTCAGTTCGCCCTCACCGGCAGTTTGAAGCTGTGGAAAAACGCTGCCCGTCAACTTCAACAGAATGGTATCCCTCCCGATTTGGACCTCAATAAAGACGCGGTTAGTAATCAACTAAAATTATAAACGGTATCTTAAGTATTGCGATTCTTGCATTTTAGTACCTTTAACTCTTAAATGAAACAGTACCATGACTATACGTAAATCTTTGAACCGATAATACTTAGTACGAAGTACTGTCCAATTTTTCGGCAAAAAAAAAAACTACTTGACGGTCTAAATTCCATGCGTAGAGTCGACTGTACCCTGATGTCGATAAAAGTAATGCCTAAAATTTGAAAAATAATACCAATTGAAACATATACTCTTATTTGAACACCATTTTTGTGAGTTAACTAGGGTTGTGACAAGGTTAGTTAGAGTGTCCTTGAAGGCATACACTTGATTTGCATACACAATTACTCCCACTCGTTGAGATTAAGAAGGCGCTAGTAACTCATGCTTGACCATAATTCCTTGTCGTGACTCCCGTGAACAAGCTCCTTTAAGATGAGTCATTCGAGCTTGACCTTTTATTTGACAACAAGAAATTTGAGTTTTACTTTATACGGAGTAAATGATTCGTGTTTTTATTTGTGAACAATTTTGACAATACTCTTTGGTGTTATATGTTTCATTTATGATTTACGGTATAAAAATGCAACAACATTAATAATTAAGGTACCTTTTATCATTTTAACCACTTAATTCTTATCTTTAATTAAACCATAATGTACCATCAACGTAATGACAAGGTAATCATGAAGCATCACCCTTAACCTCTTTCCAACTCCATTTTAACTTTTCATAATGTGGTTATTGTGCATATTATTCTTTGAATTATATGATTTGTAAGTCAACTTTTTGTTTATTTGTATATATTAGTGTGTGTGTAATATATATATATATATATATATATATATATATATATATATATATATATATATATAAGAGATCAAATACAAACCATGCTTAAAATACTAACCTACAAACTCAATAATATGCAACGCTTTGAACTTCAATATGCAGTACAAATAATGTAAAGATGCACACTATGAACTTCAATATGCAATACAAATAATATGCAACACTTTGAACTTCAATATGCACTATAAGTAATGTAAAGATGCACAGTTTGTGATAGTTTGTAGGTTAGCATGGGAGGACTAGTTTGTATGTGATTCCACCCCTATATATAGGGAGCGGATCAGGTGAGAAGTGCCCTTAGGCTGAGAAGCTGCGAAGTCTAACTTATAAGCTAAAAGTACAAACTTTTAACCAATAAATGATAACTTATAGACCCTCTCGAAAATAATTACAAAAATACCACTGCGTCCAAATAACTCCAGAAACCTGGAAATTTTTTTGACGTGGTGGCATTTTCGTAATTAAGATGGAGAGCTTTATAAGTTATGATTTATTGGTTATAAGTTACTATATTCAGTCTATAAGTTTGCTGTGTTATAAGATTAGATGCAAATCCAAGGGCTGGGATTACTTCTCACTTCTCATCTTAAGGAGGACTTCTCACCTGATCTTTTCTCTCTCTCTATATAGGCAGCAGATCAGGTGAGAAGTGCCCTTAGGTTGAGAACTGCGAAGTTTAACTTATAGACTAAAAACACGAACTTTTAACTAATAAATCATAACTTATAGACCCCCTCGAAAATATTTACGAAAATGCCACCACAAAAATAACTCCAGAAACCTTCTATTTTTTTTTGACGCGGTGGCATTTCTGTAATTATGATGGAGAGCTTTATAAGTTATGATTTATTGGTTATAAGTTCCTATATTCAGTCTATAAGTTTACTGCGTTGTAAGATTAGATGCTAATCCAAGGGCTGAAATTACTTTTCACTTCTCATTTTAAGGGGGACTTCTCACCTGATCTTTTCTCTCTCTAATTCTCTATATAGAGGAATGTTCAGGTCCGAACATTCCCCGTCCGAACACCGTCCGAACAACGCCTTTCAGGGTGGTTCTTAATAATTTGGAGCCAAAGTCTTTTCATATAGGTCAATTTGGATCTGTGTTTGTTCTTGCATCCTAATAATGCATATGACTACATATGGCCAGTATCACGTCTTGCAAGTCTATGCCAATGCACATATGAATGCAGCACTGATAGTACATGATATATTTTGAGATATCTCTACATTTTTGTACAAGGGCTGTTTCATGGAAGGAGAGCTTATTGTTGCAGAGTGTACTGCTACTACAGAATCTACTAACAAAATGTTGTGGTTTAACTGCTATCTTTGAGAACTTGAACTCAATCAAAAGAAGTGAAATGATACTATCATACTATCATAGTCAAAGTGTTATAGACTTGAGTAAGAACTATGTGTATTACTCTCGTACAAAGCATATTGATCTTCGTGGCATTGGGTATGTAAGACAATGGATTAAAATGTGTTGAAATTTGTTAATTAAGATCACCAGGATGGAGAGTTGACTAGTTGAGCACGTCAAAGCTGATCACAAGAAATAAGCTAGAGCTCTGTAGAGATGTAAGCGGGATTGGAGCGGACTATGTACAGTATTGTTAGTTAGTTGCTTCTCATACAAGAACTTCACATCTTAAGTACTATCTTCTTTTGATGACGTTTTCCACCTCTACAATACAAATTTGTACGTTTCTACCTCTTCTCTCTTTTTAAATGAGAGGGGTAAAAACAAAGAATTAACGAGTCTTTGTGAATTCGTGGTAGGATATTTGTGTGAGGTGTCTTTATTTACCTAAAAAAGAAAAGGTCTTAGATCAGTGAGATGTTTGTAGTGATGACTATTGTCCTCAGTATGGAACTAAGTTCACTTGAGATTTCCATACCCAATTTGTCTTTTTACAAATACTCTGTACTAAATACATACTACTATAGTATACTTTTATTTGATTTGGTTCTTACATGTATAAAATGATACCATAATAGGTTGCAGATACTTGGAAAGCTGCATTTAAGTTAGATACCTCAGATGTTTGGTTCTCCCACATGGCTGCCATGATGGGAAAGTACTGCCAATTTTGGAGGGGCTCCACCTCGCTAGCTGATTGCTCTCCCAACTCCTCTGCCACCGGAAGTGTAAAATGTATAATGACAGGTGAGCGTTCAAGCATATTTGACTCTGTCCAGTGGGTTCACTCCATGGACACCCACAAAATTATGTTGGACACTATCTTCTCAGAACATATTGGGATCTGGTCGTCTCTGCTTCCGCTACTGTCGGAGATATCACGGATGATCATGTGCATGCTGCTCTCACTTTGAACCTGAGCCCCAATTCCATTGAATTTCAGTCTGACTGCCGGAAAGTTCTGGAAAACAGTGCCTGGTGTTTGGTCTGGATCTCACATCTCAACACTCGCCGGAGTGATTTCATCGATCGTCACTACCACAGTGAGACACCTGAATAATGGAACACATGCATGTTAATTCTCTATATATTATTCTTCTGATGATGATGAACAACTACATGATTTTGTGGTGCATTTTTTTGAGGGAGGGCTACTTTGGGGATTTATTTTTGTGGTTTGCAGGTAAAGTTTCATTAAATAAGTTACCTTTATGGCTTTGGTTGGTATTGTAGTACTGTAATAGCCTTTTAACAAAGGAAACAATTGTTTGTACACACTTTTTGTCCACATTTCATACACATGTATGTGAATAAGCTATTTTTTTGTCCGGAAATAGTTTGTTCATAAACAGTTTAATATTTAATAGGAGTTGTTAATGGAGAAAAAGATTAAAAAAGTTTAGTTTCATTGTTTTCTTTATGAAAATCAATGTTATCAAATTTTTAATTTGAAACAAATAAGTAATGGAACAAGGGTCATTGATTTAAGCTAGACTAAGAAATGTAAGAATACTCCTACTGAAAAGTAGATGCTATTTTGGTAATATTCATTTTAGATAGTTAACAAATTACTTCATTTTTGTAAAATGTTAAGAATTACCATGAATACTAGTTAACCTTTTTTTTAAAGAAAATGAAGTGAATCCAAATATTAAAGCTTGTGGCACATTAAAAGTACACAACTCATTTAGTTTTGGACATTGAAGAAAGGATTTATTGCATAAATAATAAATTTTCAATTATTCTTTCATCACTACAAGTGAAATATGTCCATGTTCTTACAATTTCTTAATCTTCTAACCCTTTTCATCAAGATTCCACCCTTTGCTTTCTCCATTGATCGATCCGTGGAATAGTTTAGTTTTCCAATTACCTTTAGAGGAGATGACAAGAAATGAAATTTCCAGTTTTTTGGAAGAACTTACCTTTCATGATGTGTTAAGCAGTTTCTTTTGAGCTTTTCATGCCAATGTGGAATAATCCTAGTGTGCAAGTAGTCTAGGATTGGACCAAGCCGAGGCCCATACTAATAAATTATTGAGATATTACCCAAAATAAGACTAAAACAGTTTGAAAATTCCAAAATAGGTCCGCCATGTTTTTATTCCCAAAATAGGACTAATTACTGCCATGTTTTGGCAGTCCTATTTTGGAATTTTGAAACTGTTTTAATCCTATTTCGGGAACTTTCCCTAAATTATTTCTGAAAAAAAGGATGACACCCATCCCTGAGGGTCCCCAATACCCCGACAACAAGGTACTTTGGGAGTATGAAATTATCAGAATGCACCACTTTTGTCCGTCGTATTTCATTTATGACACAACCATGTTTTCTTCTTAATTATAAACTTTTGTTTTTTCACCTTCAACTTTTTTATTTCAAAAATAGATTCTCTTCAAGGTGAATCGTCTCCCCAGCCAAATCCAAATTTTGCTGATTTCAAATCGGAGTGGAGTAGTGTAGGACTTGGATGTGGGTTGATGTGCGTTGCGAGGTGAGAAGGGGAGATTTCACTTTGCTTGTCTTTTCAATTTTGCTCTACTTCAAAATATACGCTCTGTCTCGTCTAAATTCGCGAGGATTGAAAAAACGAAGGATTGGGTTTATGGTTAGGAGCAAACTTTGGTGACCGTCGAGTTCCTTCAGTCACGGCGTGCTACCTGGAAGCATAGATCTCACCGCTGCTTGGACTATCTTCATAGTGCCTCCTCATCCTCATCCAGTCATCCTTGTATCAAGCACTAGGTTCTGTCGGGAGCTTCTTCCCGGCCTTGGAGGGGTTTTCTCCTGTAACAGGGAATTAAATCACAACAAGAGAACTATTCTAAAATAGAAAATGAAAGAGAATGTAAGGCATTTTTCTTGCCAAAGTTGTTTTTCCAAAAGGCAGTCTGAAGTTTCAGGAGAAGAGAATAAGACATACAACTTCCATGCCTTATCTGATAAAACAGGCTAATTATTTATACTACTTATGGGACCACACAAAATCATTTAGCATAGTGTTAGTTATTTTATGACGAGTGCTCCGCCTGTTACATCTCCACTGTAGCGTTCAGCTGATGCATTCTTCTGCACCGCAGTTTCCTTTGTGCTTTGGCTTTCATTCTATCTAATATTTTTTCAGGTGTGAGAGAGATGACTGGAAGTTGAGATGCCGACCAATTGCTTTGCTTCCAGAGATGTGCCTCAGATAGCTTTGCTGGAGGTGATGAAATTCATCTTATATCCTCCCTATCCATCATTCTACGAAGTCAATCATATATGTTGTTATCGACAATTTGCAGAGTACTAAATCTCAAGTCTCGCACAACTTGCTTATTATATAGGGAAAAAGCTACTCTAGTCCTAGTAATCAGATTACTAAACAATTTCTTTAATAATTTTTGTTCTTCATCCATCTGCTGAAGTTTAGCCTTTGTTCATTAATTCCTTGTACCTAATGATTAAGCTGTAGGTTTATGTTGATTTTCTTGTCTAGCTTTGCTTGCTTTAGATAATATGGAAGTCACTGGTTGCAATCGTATAGCTCCTTCTTGGCCTGGGAATCAAGCTTAATTTATGGGAATAAAAAGTTTATGACTTAGCTTATTGTTGTATATCATGTGAGGATCTTTACATCCTCTTATTTCTTTTGGCAGAGAACCAAACTGAAAGTTTGAATGATGTTATGATCAATTATGCAATAAAAAGCTGGCTCTATTTTCTACTGCTTGCATTGCTTCTCTTCTCTTATATTTGATTCATGCTATTTGTGTGTATTTATTCTAATGCTTTTATACTTGGACGCCATCACTGCTGGGATCAAATATCTTCCACGAAGATGAGAACGGCGTCTGGTTGGGGCATCTCGGGGAACAAAGGCCGTTGCTATGATGAATGGATATCAGTGAATGTATGTCCACTCACCTGGAGCCTATGGACTGTACTCTTCTTCGAGAAGACTATCTCGAGTGTCTCCATCACTCCAAAGAGTTTCAACGTAGGAATAGGATATACAAGGAAGAGCAGCGTCAACTAAGAGCAGCCGCTCAAAAGGGAAAAGAAGTTGAAAAGGATGTTGCAACTCCCCATTGATTGTACAACTTTTCCTGTATGGATACCTGGTTTTTGCCCATTTGAAAGCAAGTTGAAGTGGATGCTTTCAGTATAAAAAGGTCACTCAGTAATTCAATTGTTGTACTATTTCATGAAATGGTAAAAGCATTGCAAGATTGTATGGTAAAACACTATCTGCTATGTGTCACTTGGTGTGTGGGCATTTGTTAAAAAAATCTAATGCTTTTATACGTTGTTTTTTTGTTTCATTTTGTTGCATCGTATATGTTATTTTTGTTGCATAATGTTATTTCTTCTAATGCAACATGGTGGGTTTTGTTTATGCTACTATGTGTTTTCACTGCTTTTCTTGCTTCTCTTTGCTTCTATTTCATTGTTACTATTTGTGTCTTTTTCAAATACTTTTATATGTTGTTTTTTGTTTCTTTTTGTTGCATCGTATGCGTTATTTTTTGTTGCATCATGTTGTTTATTGTTGTATCGTGTTATTTATTGTTGCATCATGTTTATGATTGTTTATAGTTGATTTGGGTTTCTAATTTGTATTTAGTTTTGTAATTATCTTTGCTACTTCCTCGAAATAAAAAAATCATTTACAGCTAAAATGATACGAACACCTAAAATGATAAATTTAAATTTATAATAACTAAAAAGTAACTACAAATGTAAAGAAACAAGAAAAGCAAAAATTTCACAGCTATAAACAAAAAGAAACACATACAAATAACATGCATAAAGAATAACCTTGTTCGTTAAAAAAAAATAAAAATAAATAACCATGTTCGTTATTTTAATTTTTCCAGATTTTATATCACACCCTTTTAGTTTTCATTAATTTTCTGATTTTTTATGTATTTATGAATTACTCCCTCCGTCCCAAAAAGGTTGGTCAAAGTTGACTTTCACGTGAATTAATAAAGTAAAAACTGTGTGGTTGAAATTTGTACAGAGGAGAGAATTAATTTTAGCCACATATTCTTTACTTTAAATGGAAATGACAAGTCTTTTTGGGACATCAAAAAAGGGAAATTTGGCTAACCTTTTCGGGACGGAGGGAGTATATTTTTTGTATTTTTCTAATATTTTATAAAATTTGATTTCAATTTTTTGAAAATTTTTACATTTTATTTATTAATTTAATTTTTTTAATTTTTTTACTTCGTATATATTCCGATTTTTTAAAAATAATCACTCTTTAGTGGTTTCTCTATGGCGTTTCACCGCCGTTAGAGCTCTTTCTCTCCGCTATCGATTAGGTTGAGGAGCGAATGTTTCAAGGAGGCGATTCGCTAAGGGTGCAATGCAGGTGGTCGGCCGGTAGGTGTGGGGGAACATCTCTCAAGGAGCATCCGCAAGTCAGGGGAGTTCGCTAAGGGTGCTGCAAAGGAGCCATCTCATCCCATCGAGTTCTTCGCTTTGGTTGCTTGGGTCGGTTGCTGCAAGACAAATGGTGTTTCGATGAAGAGGGGTGACAACTTTGATTTAGGTTTATCAGTAGTGGTTTATGATGGAATCAATTGTCAATCAATATAAGCATATGGTTATCGGTGGGGAGGCTCAGGACTTGGATCTGGACGAGGACGAGGTTGGCGAATCCGTGGTGGAGGAGGAACAACCGACCTTCCCGGTGGTTGAAACTCTGCTAACTGATAGGAAAATCAAATTTTCGATCTTCAATGATCTTATGGCTTCGCTATGGAGACTGGGTAAAGGTGTATCTATCAAAGAAATTGGCGAGAAAAGGTACCTCTTTACTTTCTATCATATGGTGGATATGAAACGTGTTTTAGATAGTGGTCCGTGGCTATTTGAAAAAAAAAATTGCTGATTTTAAAAGAGGTTAAACCAGAGGACATCTCACTTAAAATTGAGCTTAATGAGGCAGAATTCTGGGTACAAGTTCATAACGTTCCTTATAGCTTTATGAACTTAGGTACTGCTAGAAGAATTGGTAATTTTATGGGCAGGTTTGTTAAGTATGATGAGAATCAATTCGATGAGAAATGGGAAGCGTATTTGCGTGTTAGGGTTTGTATGGATGTGGGCAAACCACTGACAGAAAGGAACAACTCTTAAGAAAGCAGTTATTGGGCATTGGGTAGATTTCAAATATGAAAAGCTACCCAACTTTTGTTTTATATGTGGAATTAACGGACATTCTGATAAGTTTTACCCGTTGACATATGAGGGTAATCTGGTTTTGGAAAAAACTTATGGGGTTAACCTAAGAGCTGGTGGAGGGGTGAAGACTAGTCATACAGGAGGAAACAAGTGG